CTTTCGCTTTTCGCCTTTTTTACAATTTTCACCTTCGCCGGCTTTTATTCGCTCCGCAGGTAAATACAGCAAATAAACGAGCTTCGACAGTCGACATTAACGCCGTATATGGAGGCATGGATCCCCCGCATTTCAAATATAGGTTATAGGTTCTTGGAGGGCCCGGGTTCCATTTTGTTGGCGTTATGTTATGCGCGGTTATGGCGACGTAATGTTATTGTTATTGTGCCATGCACCAAAAGTTCCGGCCGCGTAATATCGCCGGTGCCGCGGCGAAATGGCGCAATCCCAATCGCAATATACAGGCGACTGCAAGCTGAAAAAAATATGGCGCCGGGCAGAAAGAAAAAGTGAAGAAAATAAAATCGGCGCAAAACCAATAAGCGCTATTCCATCGTTTTTTCACAATAAAAATAAAAATAAACGTGAAACACATAAAATGCAGTTGGTATGTTATTATCCACAACACGTCGTGTTTATACTTTACATTTATTTGTTTTTATTTTTTACCTGCGTCCAGCTTGCATCTAATAAATATAATTCCGACATTATTATTCGCTCGTATTCAATAGTCGTTGGAGTGCTTTTTATAGTTTCGCGTAGTTTCTAGTTAGTTTTACACCGAGTGTAAAAATAGTTATTGTCGGTAATTGTTATTGCGCATTCGCCTCGACGCAGAGGCGTTTAGCGCGCGAGTGCGAACAACGCAACGATGGGAATAATTCATCGCTGCTAATTAGACTAAACCGCGATTAGCCGCGCAAGGTATAAATTATATCGATTGCCACAACGTGTTGTGACAACAATACACGTATTTGATTTGTACAGATTTATTTATTGATTTATGTACGTACCTACCGAAAAAAAACTAATAAAATAAAATATTAATAATAATAATTTGGTGATGACAAGTTTTATGACCCGTAATAAGTCGAAAAAAGTGAGTTTTTAACCGAGGGTTTGAAAAATAAAAACAACACAAAAACGTGCGGTGAAGTGTACAAAGAAACACAATGAAAAATAATGGGTGGCGAGTACGTTGACGCATGTGGCGGCGATTGGGCGATAAGCCGGCGGCCGCTACGTCATTCCGTCAATCTTGTACACAACGAAGAAATAACGATTAATTAAATGCAGATTTTCATTGTGCTCAAGTGCAAAATATAAAAATCATCAATTTTTACACCAAACATTTTATTTTTTGGATTTTTCCTTGAAAATTGATTTATTTTGAAAGAGCAAAGTGCAAAGAGTAAAAGATATAATTATTTGAGTATATTTTCGTACGATTTCTACTATCTGAACTGCATGATTCCGTGCGGAGAAGCACGAAAGCTTATAACAAAGATAAGAAGTGCAGATAAAGCGCGTTCTTTCGAAATTCGCCAACATGCTAAACCCTCGAGTCCTTGAGAGCAATGAAGAGCATATCGGCGTGCTGTATTATTAGATTCCTCGTGTCGCGGCCGGCGTGGGTCACTCTCGGGTCGAAAATAACGCGAGCGCGAAAACGTCCGGACACGGACAGGTTCGCTAATTACGGCCGGCTCGCTCAAGGATTTCCATCGCGTTATCCACAACCTCTCACCCTCGCCATCCGCGCGCGAGGCGTCGATGCGAAAACGAAAAGGTCGAAGGTTGCTTACCACCAACGCGATGCCTGTTTTTATCCGCATTAATATCAGCCAAGGCCTAATTTAATGTCCAAAATATATATAGCTACACAAAGTATACATACATACAACGTTTTTGAATCGATGATCACAGAATATTATACTCTTTAGAATTTTTGTAAGTAGGTGGTATTAGGTTTTATTCACATCTTTACATTTGTATTCGCTATTCCCCTCGAGTTTCTTTTCCGATTTATCCCTTCATCCTTGGAATTATGTGGTGGATTACTCCGGTAACGGCACGAGTGCGCCCCGGAACAAATTTCTTCGAGTCGTGAACTTTAATCAATGACAGGGGGAAAACGCGCGATGCAAGTTTAAAACGAATTGATTTCTCGTTATCGAAGAATTTCCGTCGACGCTTTTATTTACTTTGCGCGATGAATTCCGCCGCTTTCGCTATAACTTATCTTACTTCATGATTATGTACTAGTATTGGTTTGAGGTTAGCTTTCGTGTTGCAAACGTTTGTCGAGTGGTCGTTTGAATCGAGTAGCTCTCGATTTAAACGCTCTCTGATCTTCAAAACCAGAAACTGAATCAACGGCTGGGGAAATAAGAGGTTTTTATGATTTAATGACTAAAGTAATTTCCATTTTAATTATTATATGACTCGTGATTCCGTTGTGTTTCTTGGTCTCGAAACGTTTTAACATTCGGTCGTGTTTTATTTTTCTTTAATTAACTTTTTGCCTAAAACCGACCGCATTTACACTGTGTGTGCGCGGGGAAAATGGCCCGGGCACAGCCGGTCGCTTCCTACTTCAATTTCCTTTTCATTTGCATATTGCCCGGAATATTACCGACAAGTTTGTCGGGCTTGACGCTGATTCGTATCGACTTGGCTGCAAATTTCATTATTGCCAGCTTAATATTTCACGTCTGAAATTATTTTGATTTTGTTGATTTTATTTATTTCCTTGACAATCTGTATCTATTATTGGCCGAAAACAGTGTTAGCTTTTACTACATGATATTCAGCGTTATGTGAGATTATATGTTCGCGTTCGATGGGTAATAAAAATTTATGACAAATATTTATTTATTCATGCGGTGCGCACGAGCAAAACGTCGAAATGCTAGTGGAAAAAATGACATGCAAATTGACGCAGAGAGGGGCGGGAGGGTACAAGAAGGTGTAATAAAACGCGCCCGCGTTCACAACCTCGATAAATTTATTGGCGCACATTTTTCGTTTATTTATTGACACGATTCAAACACGAAACGCGTGCGCGCCGCAAATTCACACGATATATTCGCATTTAGATATTTAGCGTACTCACGACCCTGCTGCTGGGCTGTGCCATCGAAGTTAAACTTTTTTTCGTCTCCACTTGAGCGCTTTTTCTAATGTTGTTGCAAAACGACGACGAGTGTTGGCGCAATAAAAAACGCCGCGCAAAAACAACATTGACATGAATTATCGCGCAGCGTTGAAAGTGCTTTGGAAAGAGAAAGTCGAAAACACAAAGCGAGGACAAAGATTGAAGCAAGTAGAGCAACTGGAGCAAGAAGCAAAGAACGGGCTAAGAAGACAAGCGGCGGGCGCATCGTTTATCACACTCGAATTAATTTGAGTGTCGTCAAACTGTTGCCTGGGCAATATGTAACGAACGCAAGGCGGAACACTATGAAACGTAGCAGAGCGGGGACGAAAAGGGGATTTAATAACGTGCAGAGCGTGCAGCAACCCACCGCACGCCTTTCTAACCTACAAAACGGTTTCATCCTAGTTATATAGCACATCCGCGACGCTTCCTTCATTCTTCGTGTTGCAGTCGGTGCTTATCTTACGCAGAATTCTAGATATTTAGACAATTGTCACGCTTATTCGACGACAAATAACTTTGCGTCACTTCCACACTTTCTACACAATTAAATGCTTCATTTAGCAGACAATTGTTTTCGTTTTTTATTATATAACACACTGAAAATGACCAAAGAATTTTTTTTAATTTTTCTTACATATAATGTAGATAAAAAATATCAATTACGGAAGTGTAGTGGAATGTAAAATGCACGCAAACGCATAAAAGCAAATTGCTGCGCGAAAGGCAGGATAACAAAAGGATTCTTGGCGCTCGAATGGAATCGCACACAAGATCCAAATATCTGCAGCGCCTTTGTTTCGGCCCCCGAAGCGGCGATAAATTTTTTGTTTTCCGTCTCTATTATCGTGCCGCCTCATCCGATGCGCGAAAGGATCGTAAAGGATTGTGTAAATATTACATTCGCACACACACACACATGCATTCGACGGAACGTCAACTCCTAGCGGACATCAAACGGCCGGGATTTAATTTTTAATCGATATTTACATTCGCCATAAGTGATTTCGATCGCGCGCGGAATGTTTGAGTTGGAGTTAGAGTTTTTCGGCTCTTGGTCCGGGTGAAAATTTAAATATGTAAATATTTTCCCGGGGCGCACAAAAAAATCGGATCAAATGTGATGCGTAATTTTTGTTTGGGATTATCATATAGATAGGCTGTAGTAGTTGGTGTAGAATTTAATTAACGCTTAAGCTTTTATGTGTAATTTGCGATTAATGTAACAGATGTCACTAATTGCTTCATTTTGTTCGCCATTCTTTAGCTTTAGCTTTATCAGTAACTAGTACGTTTCTTTCGAGGCGCAGTTTCAATTTCGAGCACAAGTCTATCGCTATCAGTGTGTACGTGTTAACGGGCCGAGCCCGTTGGGGGTGTATATTAAGTGCGATTTTTAATTTCCTCTTAAACGACGTGTTGATATAAAACACCCGCAGCGATCGTGATCGCCGAAATAGCGCGTATATTGCCTCCATTTCGCCCCGCTACAGCACTGATTACAAACAGTATCCTGCATTTTTTTTTTCCATGCTGTTGGTGGAATGAGAAACGAGAGAAAGCAATCGATGGCGTGCCAGTTCATTTGGCGCGTGTGTATTAAAGCCACGTCAAGTCAACTCCACGAGAGTGGCCAGTGTTCGAAGAGGGAAGTTGTGATATCGCGATCGTTGAGGGTAAACAATGGAATAGCTGAAAAGGGGCTCGCAGCGAGGGCACTTAGCGTTTTGCGAGCGCAATTAATTACGAACAATATAAAAATGACGTCGGCGGCGGTAAATTATCTCGCGTTGGGGTTCTGCGCCTCTCCCCTGCTGATACTAACTTGTAGCGAGTGGTGGGTTAAACTGAGTACAGATTGCCCCCAACCGGCGGAAAGGACGTCGGGGAAATCCCAAAGTAAATTTATTCAGATTTGCATTAAAATTACAAATCAGAATCAAATCAACGTCTACACATTGAAAAAAATCCAAAAAATAAAAAAATTTAAAAAACTCACCAGTAAAAAACATCAAAATCTGAAACAAAAAATAAAAATATTTAATAAATTAAATTAAAATAGTTGTTTTTGTATTATCCTGATTGCTATCGATAAAATAACTTCATTAAACTAAATTATAGTTTACAGTATTTTCTGATATTTATGTCGTGTTCTATTAATCCGCTTTCATTCTCGCGATTTTACCTATTTTGCCTATAGTTTGTTTGCGGCCGTGGGGGCGGCAATATTGAGGACGAAGTCCTGAGCGCTGTGATTCGCGCACGCTATAACACAATTAACTTCGATTTTCGCCTTCATTATGCACGCGGCACGACGTCCGGCACCTCGCGCATTCTCGGCTAATTTTGTTGTAGCAGTTTTACTCACATCATTCTGCGATTTAGGTGCTTACAGAGATACTTTAGACGCGCGTTAACACGACGTCAAGCAGATAATACGTGACTTATCAGTAATTATCTGCAAAAGTTTACCCTACCACCTGAAAGTTACTTTACATAATGCCTAAGAAGCTTAAGCATACAATTTTGTATCTTAAACATATAAAATATAAAATTAACTTAATAGTTGATGTTAATTAAGGTAAAATTTATTTTTTTAATTATGTGTGTTGGTAATAGAAGCACATATAGCAAAAAGAACATTGCAGGAATATAGTTGGAGCTAACCAGCACTAAGTGCTTGTTTAAACTTTCCAAAAGCATAGCCTGCGTCAGGAGAGCATGCTCATCCTCGAAAACTCGAACATGAGCACGCCCGGCACGAACATAAACACGCGTTGGATTTGTTCTATTAATAAAGCACCCTTCCTGATCCCAATCCCCTATACATCTCCAACGTGGGTGTATAAAACGTAATGAATCCTAATGAAATCGTCGAACAAAAAGATCACACTCCAATATGCTGTCTTTTTGCGATCCTAACACGAACAATGGCTTCATTGATGTGCACCGCGTAGGCGGAGTTTGCCGCAACTGGTATGTCGCGATACTGACGGTGCTGGTGAATATCTAATAAACGCTAATGTAAGCGATTATGAGGAGCAGAGAGAGGGCTCATTATCGCGCTGGCGGCATGCTCGGGGGCATGCATTTATCATGAATCATAACATAGATGGCGATAACTAATTTTGGTGACATGGCGACGCGAATGTGTACCGAGACCAAATATGCGTTGCTAAGCGGGTGCGCACGTCGCACAATATTTATGAGATTATTAGCGAGAAATGATGTGCGCGCAGAGAGAGAAGCTAAACCCAAACAAAGTCAACAGATTTTAGGTAATGGGTATTATCTTGAGTACACGTACACCCAACCGAAAATCATCTAGTTAATATTAAATATAAATTTTTGTAAAAATATTTTCTTGTCTTTTAAATATCATCAATAATTTCTAAAGATATTCTGTAAACTGCAATATGTAAAAAAATGTAAATTGCTTTCCCATGTTCATTCGGTTCGGCTAAAAATACAAAAAAGCAGCGCGTAGCATATTTAATGAGTTATTGTTTGTCCGGTGCGCTCGGGTTGTTCGTGCCGATGTAGCCCCGCGTAATAAATAGCTAATAAGCCCGCCGGCGCTGCGCTACCCGGCGCCTTCACCACCGGCACTACTGCATTACCGCGCGCGTTGCGAAAATGTTTGGATTCGCGTTAACAGACGCACGCGGCCGCCGTCACCGTCGTTCATGCGGTGCGCGTAGCTTTGTTTCGCATCGGCTCACGCCTGCAGGCGTTTGACTTACTCTACCCGTCGGCATCTGTGCCATACCAGGACTTTTGTTTTTGTTACTCGCGTATATTTCACTTTGTTTTCCTTTTGTACTCGTCAATTTCCATATTGCGCGCTGATGCTGTGCGTGTGTTCGCTTTAATTAGTTTCATGTTCATGTTTGTCCGTTTTTTTTTATACTGTGACTGTCGTTGTTTTTCGCCTGCAATTTTATTTAGCTACACATGTGACGCGTTTTTGTATTCAATTCTCTGTTGAATAGGATTCGAATGGATTTCGAAAGCGAACGTGTTGTCACCATCTGGCGCTCGCAATTTGCACGCAGGCTGTGTCGCAGCCAAGCTATTCGCATAACGATTTTCCGATTTCCCAAAGCTAACGCCGTCTAGTGGCCAACAACGAGCACTGCAAGCTTTAGAATTTTCACTCTAGACAGCGCCCGAGGGTAACTTATAATGTTTTATGGTACAAAGCTTTGGTTGTCAGATGGCGCTAGTAGTAAAATGTTGTGTACGAGTTTTCCGGCCGATGGAAAATCGATGCTCGATAGCATCGCGCACGGCACGCTAGCCGCCGACGTAAGCAGGCAGAGGACGATGCGGAAAACGGCAAAAATTCAATAATTTGCCGGCGCACGATAGAAGGCCACACCGCACCGCTACTGGAACTTTGGCGCTATCCGCAGCACAAATACACTGGCAACCAACAATACCCACAACGACTTACAGTTTAATTTCTTTAAATATTTAACAAGTTGTCACGATGTAAAACAATCCAATTGCGTCCCAATCTAGGTTTTAATATTGCATTTGTTCCTTTATTCCACTAAAAAATACTAAAAAACGAGAAAAACAAATTGTTTTACTGATTCTAAATAATAAAATAACACATTGCAGATTTAACAATGTAGCAAACCAGTATTAAATCATACTCACTACTAAAGATTAAGTAGAAACGTGCCAAACGAGCGCTAAGTGTGATTAATCGTGCGGAAATTTCTTTTGATTTTATATTTTATATACGCGTGGTGATAAATTTTCGCTGACGTTTCGTTATGACACGGAACGCTTAATAAAACACTTATATGTGCTTTGATCTCACGTGAAAACAAGGCGGTGCGTTCTGAATTGATCAACGCACGAATATTTCCGCGTGAAAACTGTCGCGAGCCTTGAAAATTCGAATTGTTTCGAATTTCCGGCTGCGACAACACACGCCGCAAGCATCCGTCTATTTCGGGCGGTAGCATCGTTTGGTCGTTACGATGTGCAATGTGTCACACCGAGTAATTATAATTCGCGACGGTCGCTTGGCCGGAAGGTCGTCCAGCTGTGCTCGAAAGGCATCAATCAATGATATTGCTCCATCGCCCAACTGGCGCGATATGTGTTTGTTTACATTTGCGGCGCGCGCGAGCTTTGTGGCGGCGAAATAAAGCAGTCCGAGTAATAAATATCAAGTTATTCGTAACGATAGACAACGCGTGCAACATCTTACCGCGTAAACACACTCTCGGCGGGAGCTGTCGGTGGGAGCTTTGCGTGCGCTTAAGTGAAGTGAGTTAATTTTGACAATCGGACCCGGACGGACGGAAGACGACCGCTCGCCGCAACAAACGAATTTTCGCGCTCTCGCAAACCGAATAGGTGCTAAAAATACACCGCATTTTTCGAATCGTAGAGCTCTCTCTGTCTTCACGCCGGCCACTTTTAGTACAGCGGGACTTTAAGGCGACTTAAGTCACTTAGCGCCGCGGTAACAAGCGTGCGAAATTGACTCGTCAAGTTGGAAAATAAACATTAAGTGTAAAGTGCCACCAGCTAAATATTTCGAATAGTGTTGTAAACAAGCAAAAATAAAAACCGAGCGGAGAAAATGCGAAGCCGTAGAGATTAAATCGAATTCTATTTAACACCGTTTTTACGCCGGAAAATGTGTCGCGAAGCCTAGCAAATCCCGGAAAAGCATAAACATCGCAGTGATGAGTTTTTTCCACAAGCGTCATTGACGTGTAGCAGTGCTGCGGGGAGAAGAGTATGGCGGCGCCGGATATGCATTAATGCAATTTGCACGTTGCGAGGTGCACACACGGTGGTGGCGTTTGTCTGCTGTGCGTTGTGTAATTTGTTCTCGTGCGGCACGGCGCGGATTGTTGTGGCGTTCGTCAGCGAATGTGAGCGGAGTCGCGCGTGGCGGAATGTGGGTGGCACGCCGCCGGCGGCACCATGGTTTATGTGAGTTCGACGTCGCATCGTACGACGCCGCCGCCCAACGCATCTAGCACCAGAAGGTAGGCAAAGGTAAAAGAACAAAATTTTGCCCCCAATTTACAATAGATGGCGCTGATGGCACTTTCATAACCACAATCTTAAACTACTCTTTCAAGGCTAAAACAATTCAGTGATGTCATAAATCGCACCGAAAGTCATTCGACGGCAACATTAATGCCAGTTGTAAACGACATTGAAAACACTTCCATTACATTACAGCATTACACATTGTAATACAAATGCTCTCGCCTCTCTTTCCCCTTTTTACTCATACGTGCGTCGGGAGAAGTGAGTGCGTTGTGTCTGCGCCGCTAATGTATTCGGGGATTAATTAAAGCGAGATCATTGTAGTGCGGAGCCCGCGGCTGCTCTTGGATGGCGTCCAACTAGGTGACACTCCTAATGTGAGCGGCCCCATAAAACCGTTTCGACTACTCCGGCGGCGGCGAGAGCCGAAAGCCTTGTCGTTGCCGCCGCACCGCGCCGTGCGCTTGAGCTATATTCGTATCGGCACGAATTCGGCGCGACCTTAACTTTAACGCTCCGTTTCCGAGCGCGCACAATGCTGTTTTTCATGTGGTAGACCTCAGTTCTTATTTAAGCCGAAGACATGCCGAAAATATCAACGAACGCAAAACCGGCGATCCCAAAGGTCATTTTTAATAGAATATTCACAAATGACATCTGTCTTACTGTCAAATGTCACTTTTATAACCTATGAGGTTAACCTACAATTATTCTGCAGAAAATGTTGAGTTGGGAGATTAAAACATTCCGGCGTTTTGCGAAAAAATTAATATTGAAATAATTTCGCGTGCCATTTGGTACTTTGCAGTCGTGCAACATGCGCGATGGCGAGTGTGCTTGCCGTGTGTTTACATTTCAACCTTAACATAGAAAAGTGGTTTATTATTCGCCCGCGCAGCACTCGCACATTCGCGCCTAGCGTGTAAATATAATAATCGTGCTCGTATGACGTCGGCGGCTTCGGGGCGGCAGTAGATTGTTGCGTTAGATT